GGGGGGGGGGGGGGGGGGGGGGGGGGGGGGGGGGGGGGGGGGGGACGTGGACCAGAGGAACGATGTCAGGGGGGTGTGAACGCGATGGTATTTTAGGAAGGGGGCGGTGTAGGGTGATGGCCATGGCGGGCGTTTTGCTATGTTTCCTTGTGGTGGAGTGAGTCTCGGAAAAATGGGTCTGTGCAAAATAAAGACTACCCACACCAACATCATCACCAGCAGCCACCGACAGAATGTGCACGACTTTCATGCATCCCGTACCCCTATTCAGGCATACACGTAATTGAGCCGCACGCATCCAACCTTGCCCCGTTGGGTACACTTATGCTTGCGTTGTAGTATGCCCATGTACTCTTTCAAGCGCCTGCGCTCGGTCGATGGCTCTTCTGCTACGAACTAGAGAGCGGGCATCGATGACGAGCATACCGCCACACGGTACTCACAAGACTTGATACCCCCGGCACAGCAGACCGCGGAGTGCCACTTCTGAGAGGGCAGGACTCCGCCCCCCCCCGCGCCGCCGCCGCCGGTGCTCACAAGCTCCATCGGGTGAGCGGGTCTTCGCGAAGTCGACGCCCTGGACGTGCGGGATCTAGACGACCGCCGCGATCGGCCAGAGGCGTTTGATCGAGTGTCGCTGGTACCACTCCGGCCGCTCTTGCTTTTGCNCAACGTCGTTGACAAGCGACGGAAACCCAATCCCGATGGTAAACACCGGGGGGGGGGGGGGCGTACTCTTATGTTTTGCATGTCTTAGCGGTTAGACCATTGACCACGCGTCCTCGAAAGGACGGAGCATTGTTCCCACAGGACCGATCACCGATGGCCAATCGTTACTTTCTACTTCGCCAAACGTGGCTCAAAAATGCCTTCCCTAGTCTGTCTGTCCTAACGATATCCCTTCCCGCCTTTTCAACCCACCTCCTATGCCCCAGTACAGCTACCGTCCTTTCCTCTCTATTCCATGCCTCAAACATCTCCCTGTACGTTCCATCTATTTTTCCCAGCTCAGTCACGTACACTTCCCTCTCCTTCTTGTCCAACGGACATTCCGCCACTACATGAACACGGTCTTCGCATTCGAAGCCGCAATCACATTTGAACCCGTCGTCTTCCTCGTCTACCGTCCTATGTCTTCGTCGACGTTCTCGAAGGCCTAGACCAAATGTCCCCGGTCCTGAATTTGGCCTTAAGCTTTGTCCCTGCCTCCATTGGTCCATGTGGGTAGTCCTTGAACCCTATTCCTTCCTTCAACATTCCCATCACTTCTAGACC